ATTGATATAATTTTTTTGAACGGAGATAACATAAATAATTAATCCGTAAGATATAAAGAAATCTTAAGTATTCTTTGCTGCTTAGATATGCACCATTTGTCGTTTTTATGCAATTCCATTCAAATTTTACACACATTTTCAACATTGAGTCACAATTTTATAAGATTCTGCCACTTTGCCTTGCAAACATTACTCAGGTCACCTATCTGAATATAGATCTATGAAAAAATATTGCTGATTTCTAAAGAAAAAAGATTCTTTGTGTTATTTATCCAAGTCATCGGTGTCCCTAGGAAATAATGTGACTGCTCCGTGTCGCCCGATACTGTGTCGGCCGATCCTGTTCTTTCAGCCGACAAGACCAGAAAAATTTAGTCGCCCGACCATCGGCTTAAATGTGACCTATGCATAAGAAAACTCACTGAACAAGCACCGTGGCAACAAAACGTCCATAAGCCGCTCCACAGAGAAGAGAAGGGACAAACAAACCGCTGGGGACGTGAACGCCATATGTCCAACAGGCAAGGATAAAAAAGAAGAGGAAGAACAGACCCAGAGTCTCTAGGCTAAACTTACCTTTAATAAAGAAGAGCTCGAATTAGTTTAAAACGTTGAAAAGTCAAATTGTCATCAGAAAGACATTTAGATGGCAAACTTTTTATTAAGATTTAGATTTTAACGAGAGCTTTTTTATGAGAGTTCCTTTTTTTTTTGGTTTATTACCTTTGATTCCCTTTGATCTAACTAAACTGTTCTAAAAGAATTTAAAATAAAGAAGTCTTTGATTTTTTTATCTTTCAGTAATTGATCATAAACATAAAACATTACATAATGACATGCACAGGTAGTTAAGTGTAAGGGCTCCCGTTTAATAAAAAAAAATATTACCAAAGTTTTTGTTCACAAGAAACACTGAATTAATTTTAAAAATGTGATTCCCAAACATTAGAAGATAATCTCAGATTTTAAGTAAGTTTTTTTTCTTGGCATCCAAGAATATTTACCAGAGAATTCTTTTATAGTTTTGCTTTGACAAGTGATTCAATGTGATAACTACTAAACAAAAGACAAAAGAATTTTAAATCAATGATCGATTGTTGTAAATCTCTAGCTTTGAAAATAAATCTACTCTACTATAATTCGGATTTTTATTAAAATTTCTAGCCATTCAAGACCATGTTGGTATTTAAAGTCTGAAATATGTCTTATCAACACACTGTCTATAATTTTCAATCATTTAATGATGAAGTGTTCCACAAATGGCACCTTTTTTGCGTTCAGAGTTTCTTGCATTATTTTGATTGCAATTGCTCTAGTTCTTCAAGGAATATCCCTAGGAAAGGATGCCAAATGGGATCAGTATGTTACAGGGGGTGTCCAAGTAGATACCAATAATCCGAAAGTTTTCCAAATTAAAGCTTATCAATCTTTATGGAGGCTAACAGTTAAATCTGATGAGTCAGACGATGACTATAAAGTTTACAATGATGAATATACCAGTAAAACAGGTATTATTCTTTTTTAATTCTTATTTCCTAGCAGATAATTCAATGTTTGTTGTATTTCTTTTCATTTACTTTATTTAAATATAAGCGTCGTCAAATTATCTTTGCCATTGTGAAATCAACATCAATTTTCAAACAAAAAATCTTATATTTCTTAACTGAAAAACAACGCAAACAAAATCCATTGTTTAACCTTTGGAAATTATCAGGAAGAATTTGGTATTTAAAAAACTCTAGTAATTTCTTTGGAATATGGAATTCAATAACTCGACATTGTGGCATTTTGCACACAAACAAAAATTTAATAACTTGTGTTTTTCTAAAAAGAAAGCTTTGAATAATTATAAAAGAAAAAGAACTTTCTTTTGTCCTGACCACCTAATATTAGCAGAGTACCTGTTATTATATCAACAGGATGGAGGAATGAGGTTTTGAGATTGGAGTTGGCGGGTGTAGGACTTGGGTCGATATCATTCAGTGCACTTGCAATGGCGTCTTTGGTACCAAAATTTCTCAGAATCAAAAAACTTCAGATTACCAGTATTCTTGGATGCACAGTATTGTGTTTTATCTCCGGTGAGTAATATTGTTCTATCTGCATTAATGCGATGCTGATTTATTTTTTTTTTAAAAGAAATTTAATGAAAGAACAGAGTTCCAGAGACTTCATAAATTTTGCTGAGTTATGTTTTGTACGTTGCAGCCCTTTTGATATTCAGTGGAGTTGTAAAATACAGTGAGAATTATCAATCCATCCTCAATCCAATAGTAAAGGAGTACGAATGGTTCTATCACATGACTGATAATACGTTGGCCATGGATTTTTACTTTGCTTTTGGAGCCGCCATATTTCATTTCTTTGGAGGGGTGTCCCTGATTATACATTTGATCATGTTCATAAGAAGTGGCTTCAATATAGATGAAACAAAAGTTGAAACCATTGAAGTAAAAGAACTTGCCTGAGAACAAAGTGTTAACTCGGCAATGCTTATTCAACAACTGTTCATTTACGAGAGGTTTCTGAATGGTAGATTTACTAAAAATAACTCTATGAAATCTTTAAAATTTCATTGAATTTTTTTTAACAGATGTCTTTTCTTATTTTCTTGTTTGAAGCATTCTAGGGTTTATACAAATTATGGAATAAATACCTTCTTGATGAAATAGCTGTTTGATTGCTTCTTCTTGAGAATTAAAGAACAGGGTTGCCATATCATTATAGGAGCCTTCAGGACAGAAATATGTCCTCACAGAATCATCAATGAGGGATATTGTTCCATTTCCCTACATTTCAATAAACTTCAGTTGTCTTCATATTTTTGTAGGTCGAATAATCACAATTGTACATGTAGTTCAAGTACTGTAGATGTAAACATATTACATTTGGTCGTGTGTGCTATTTAGCGCCTTTCGCGGAAAGCAGAATACCCTATTAGAGACTTAAAGTCAAATTTGTGCAAACATATATTTTTGCAAAATCATTTTCCGTTGTTTACCGTACACGCCAAATAAAATACGTACATGTACAGTATTTCTTAAACAAATAAAAAATAAGACTTTTAAAGTTTTGTATAAGTATATAATAATGACTTTAGAAGAGGATATGAAGTAATGGAAACTAATTAATGAAAAAAAGCAAAAATGGCGACCTTGCTGGAGGGCATATCTCTACACTGTCCTAGAAGCATGGCCGCAGAGAAAGACACGGTGGTAGTGACTGCTGCAACCAGAACAGCCTCAAGGATCCTGTGTAATCACATATACAACAAACTTAATAATCTGATTTTTAAAACACTAAATATTTCCTTATTCTTTCAAAATAATTCATAGTTTTCATAATTTTTAAAAGTCTTATCTGCATTACCTGATTCCTTTGTGTTTCTTCTGGACATGTTTCATTCTGTGCTTTGTCAGTAGCAGATTTATGGTGTTAAAGAGAGCACCAAATACACCACCTAGCAGTCCCATAAAAATAAAGACGACCAAATCTACGGCGTTCCAAAGATGGCACCCTATACCACTCTCATTTGTGCACTAAAATATATTCAAATATTCTTTTAAAGTTAAAACGATAATTTTGTCTTTTCGTAAGGTAACATAAATTCTTCAAAATAATTAATAAAATTCAAGATAAGATTTTTCTCTTTTTCTTCTTAATCGATGGGCGTGGCAATGCATCAAATAATTATTTTTTCAGAAAATATTGAACTCTAAGTATTTGTAAATATATTATGGTTTTGGATTCGCTAAAATTGAAAATTCAGATGGCGGGGATTTGACTGGTTGCCATGGGATGCACACTTCTATGCATATGGTCCCAACTCTGGTTTTTCTAGATATATGAGTTTTTACCCTTTCAAACTTGTGTATTGTTTGTTAGATTTATGAGATTGATCACAGTTTGATATCTTCACCTTTTTATTTTAAAAATATATCAAGTAAAATAAAATAAATTTCGCTTTCCTTACAAAGGGAAAAGCAACCACAAAAATTTGAAAAAGATCAATAATAGATTTTTTTTGTATGAATTGTAAAGTCTTCAAATAAAATGTTTATGTATGTGAGATATACGAAAACACCAAAAATGCTGAAATTCTATTGTAAAATGTTTATAGAAATCAATGTTTTGTACCTTAAAGACTCCAAAGTTGATGAGTCCTGGGAGATAAAAGTATCCCCAGTTCCCCGTGTTGATTCCAGAAAGGAAAAAATTCAGGCTATAAGTTGCAGCCATGGAGCAAAAGAACTGTGGTATATAAAAATACATAATGATTGAGAAAGAAGAAAATTATGCATTTATGTGTGTGTACATGAGTTGTTTGAGGATTAGTGTGTCTGTTTGTTTATCTTACGGATCTCCATGTAAGTTTCTGGTTCCAAAAGGAACACCCTTCCTCCAAACTGAACAACACTCCACCGATTGGGGCTCCAAATGCAGCTATATACAAGAGTTAAAAGTAGAGCATACTATTCGCTTTAGGCGCGTCTCAGTTCTATTCTTGACATTTTATTCAAGCATTTCTTATTCATAATAAACTTGATATATGTTGACAAATCTCACGTACTTAATGTTACAATTTAAAACTGTTCGCAAAGAAATCATATATTGAATTATCAAAAGCGATATATAGAGCTATCTTTTTACAATTCTAATTGGTTTCTCTATGATAACTCTGTTGAAATTTAGTTTACTTGATTTCTTGTTTTAATTAGACCTGAATGTAATTTTCTCCTAGTGAATGTCCTAATACGCATGACGACGAGTGTTCGGGAACTATTGAAATTGACATGGGCGGTCTCGATCATTTTAAATCTATATGAAAGCATTTTTTAAATTCACATTTACAATTTTACTTCACATATGGATTTTAGTGGGGATTTTTTTCTTTTATTTAGGAATTTTAATGATTTATTTCAATCAAATGAACATCTTACCCGCAATACGGATTTCTGAATATTAAAAAAAACCCTAAATGACAAGAGATTTAATTCTGGAAATGTTTGACTGTTTATTGACCTGTCATAAATGTCAATATTCCGGAAACGTGAGGGAAAAACAATTCTGAATAAAAAAGGCATTATTTTGATTACTGGTAGGTTATTATCATAAAGTCGTTATGAAGGTGTACTTTAATTACCTGCAACGCCTGCTGCTGCTCCGCTGGATACGAAATCTCTCTTATCGCTAATTAAAAAGAAAACAATCGTCACGTGATCAATAAATAATAATATAACTCACAGAGCCCTTATTAATAAGATTATTTTGCACTCTTAGCAAATAGTTACATGATAAAAAAAATTCATACTTTATAATTTCACAATTATTTTTACACGTAATTATAATTGAACATGACGCAGTTGGATTTTTTTTCGTCGTGTTATTAACCTTACATATGGCACGCCAAATTCACAAAAATGAGCGAAACATAGTTTCACTGTTGATAAACCAGGTTTATCGGTTGTAAACTATAGTTTACGGACTGTAAACTACAGTTAACAACATTAATCTATATTTTACATCTGTAAACCATAGTTAAAGCGATAATCTATGTTTCAGAACCGTAAACTATTCTTAACACCGAAAAAAATCATTTGTGATTGCAAAACAAAGATTATCTGATAAATATAGTTTCATGATTTGTAAACTACGGTTTACAACCCCTTAACGGTAGTTAACGATCTGATAAATATAGTTTCACGATTTGTGAAACTTTGATTAACAACTCTTAACTATAGTTCACGATTTATAGACATGAATCTATGTTTATCAACAAAATCTATTGTTTACGTTTTATAACAGACAGATAAACTTAGATTAGCATTCGTAAACTGTAGTTAACAACCGTTAAATTTTACAGATGAAAACTATAGTTAACGAATTGTTAACTATAGTTCACGGTTTGTAAACTAAAGTTTACAGTCGATAAACCTAGTTGATCAAGTGTGAAACTATGTTTAGCTCATTTTTCTGAATTTGACATGCCATACATTTTATCAACTGCACATACCGATCTGTCCTGAAAAAGCTGTACTTTTTAATGTTGATCTTTCTGAACGCTATGCTTTGAAACTAATAGAGAAAATATCAGATATCTTCATACATTTATATAAAATGGAATTTTCGTTATAAAACATGTAATTGCTGATTTGGGTTGATGAAATATTAATTAATTATCTTACTTGGGGGACACCTGCTCCTATGATAGCGCCACTATGAATCATTGGACCCTCCTTTCCAACAAATAAACCTGGAACGCATGGAAGAAAAGAGTATTTTCGGTCGACCATGAAATAGATGGATCTTTACATATCAAAAGATTGTTAATGAACAAATTTTTAAGAAAAAGTAAAATTTTCTATTCTTATTTCAAGTCATCTGATGTGAATGGCAGAAAGGAATTGATAATAGTGAAGACAAATGTAAATCCATCATGAAAAACAGTGGTGTTAAAGCACTGTAGGTTAGTTACATAATACTACCTCCCGCTACACTGAAGAGTACACCGACAGCTTTAGAAATGAGCGTCATCAGGCGACCCACACGGGGTATCTTCACCCCATTCAGGTAACATTTTATCTCAGGTATACCGGAACCTCCCGCTACGGGCTGTAAATATACACTTCTCAATTAATTTACTGCTATGATGCAATATGTTCTGAGTTATAACTAGAGTATAGAATTACTAAGGTACTCTAATTATAACAAAAATTGTATTTTTTCTTTTATATCTTACTACATAATTGATAAAAACTTAAAAGGAGAAATGTAATATACTTGTATAGAGTACGGTAATTATTGATTAAAACTTGAAAAGCGAAATTTAAAACACTGTATGTACAGAATACCTCAGTGACAACAAGAAATGATGCAATTATGGAAAAACCAACGTTGAATAACAGCAAAAACAACAGAGACACAACAAGACAGCCATGTTTGGAACACTCTGATATAGCTGATTAAATTGTATTAAGGTTTTATATTCTAAATTAATATTTAGAATTCACAATTAATATATTTTTTATATGTGTTTAGATGCACAGCGCGGTATGCCTTATCCTGCTTAAGATAGATTTGTGATAAAATAACAAGTATACTTAATGATAAAACCAACAACAAAAAAATCATGAAAATCACTATATATATAATAAAGAAAATTAATCAGGTTTTGTGTTACTGTTGACATTTTAATGGTATGTTTGAAAGAGGGTTGATTTAAACAAAAGATTAAAGACAAAAAAAAAATAAATAAATAAAAGCCAATCAATAGATTTACTTTTCTTTGCATATCATGCCTCGGGTAGGATTAAGAGAGTGCAAAACTCAGCAAGAACAAGGCATGGAAAAAGTTTTTTTTGTAACTATGAACGTCTAAAAAAGAGAATGTATATTATAAAAGTCTCAAAAAGTCACATTTCTCAACGTGAAATAATATTTTTGTAAAGACATACATGGGTAATTTCCCTCTTTTTTATCAGCATATTTTAAAATTATGATATTATATAATGCCTTTAAAGCTACTCTTCTAAGTAATATCTACTTTGAAAACATTTAAAAATCATTGAATTTCATGAAATCCTCTATTTCATATCATGTTAACTTAATGAGTGTCAGACATTTATATTTATTCATCGACTTATTAAAGGATACAGTCTTCAACGACACTGAATTTAAGAGATGACAACAGTTTCACAATATAGTCTATGAATAAAGCAACCTAGAATGAAAAAAAAAACATTATGCAATCAAAAGAGAGACAAAAGTTATGAATGATATCTTTGGACAAAGGTAAGCAATTACATCTTACACCTTTCTCTTGATCATCATTTGTATTTATATGATAGAATAACTGTTTCTTTTTTGTTATATGGTTGTGATGCATGGATTTATGGCATTGTTGACATTTTAGAAAGAGTAAATCAAAAATTTTCAGGATAACAGCTTTTTTTATCTAAAACTAAGCACTGCAAATTTTCTGACTTATTGGAAATACTAGTGGGGGTACCTTAACTGAACTGAAAACAAGAATAACTGTAAATTATTTTAAAAAAATATGTAAAACAATCAAAACATTGTTGCACAGTTTATAAAATACTATATGCTAAATTTGACAATATAAATGAGTTAAAATTGTTAAAGGATTTGAAATCAATTTTAGATAATTGTAAAAATAGTAACTCTATGCAATCGGAACCAATTATTCAATAATTCTTGGCCAATTGTGAAAAGTTTAAAACAAAAACCAAAGCAGTTTTAAGAGAATTCAAAATCAAATTGCAATAATTGTTTTTTTACAAGTCTACAAAGGAAGCTACTGAAAGTTTATGAATTGATTTGCATTGAACTTTAGCATGTCAATTTATGTAGAAACGAATTCTATCCATATTCAAAATCTCAAATTAATGGACAGAGAAGGTACTGAAAAAATAACACAATGTTTCTTGTTTGAGATGATGAATTTAACTATATTTTATGTTGTGACAAGTTAAATGATGCGAGTAATCTGTATATTCCCTAATGTTTGTCGAAAGTAAATGTTATCAAATAAAATGAATTATTTTCGTTTAAGAATGTAGATAATAAATCATAATATTAGAAATTTAATGCAGTAAATACAGTTTGTATAATATATATGTTATACATGTATATCTTGTCCACACAGGTATGTTAATTTTTGATCTCTATGTTGTTTATATTATAAATATTATACTCATAAACCGGTAATTAAAAATGAAATAAAAGCACGGCTGGACATCATCTCATATATATTTGTAGGTAGTGTGTCAAGTGTGGTAATTCTAGTTCTTTAGATGATAAATATAATAAAACTGATTGAACAGTTAATTCATCTCCAGTTTTTGCTGTTAATAATGCTTATGTAGTACTTTAAACAAACCCCACATCTCATTAGGACTTACCATTCCAGTCAAAAATCCTATCATAAAGGTCACAATCCATTTTATAACCTCCACTCTAGTAGATGATTTCTGTAATGGTGTCAGGTAGTTATTTTATTTTCATGTAAATAAAGTAACAGATAAGTTCTAAATTATTGTACTCAGGCAACATTTTTTATGTAAGCGATGAAATTTAAATTTTAATGCTAAGAGCCAAATATTTTATTATTTTATTTTTTAATTTTATTTTATTTTCAAATATTATATTTTTATTTTATTTTATTTATTTATTTGCAATTGTTAGAAAAGTAAAAGTAGATTTTTCTACCATGCTTACATTTTCATCTGACCTTCTAAGATACTCTTCGTATGGTTTGTTAAAGCATCGGTCATAGTCTAAACTCTAAAAAGAGGAAAAAAATTTAGTGTTGTTAAATGTTACTTATTCTGAAGTAGCGCAAAAGGATATGAACAAAATCTCATCAAAATCTAGCTATATTAAATATAAAGATATTTGTGTATCAACCATAGCCAGACGAATCGAGCTTTTAATGTTAAATAACATAGGGTTTACTGATTCAAACCTCAAAATCTTTCCTCGGTAAGTGGTCTTCCGTAGTTCTGTGTCTGTTTCTTAAAAGTGGGCGCTAAAGAACGAGGAAACACAATCTTAAAATAATATATAATTATGATAAATTGATGTAGTCACGTTTTTTAATTTAATGTTTAATTCCATAATTTGGGGAAAAAAGTGCGCAAGGTAGCTACAAGTTTGTAACATCAACATTAAATGTAAAAATACACATGTAAACACAATATGTGAAAGTAAACAAAAAAGTGGGCGTATCTCTCGGTAGGTTATTTTACCATTTCTTGGCTCTGTGGTTCTGTATGGTCCCCATGCTCTTCACTAGTTCCCTGCCCGGGGGACCAAGAACAGCAGGAACAGTCACAGTATATATCCTCCTCACTCATTATTGTTTACAAACTCTAATCACTGGACCCTGTTATCTGAGGACACGAGTACTTAAAAGATAACAACATACTGATCAGCTGTTTACACACTGTACAGGTCCAGACACATAAAACATTATAATATAAAGTAGGTCAGATGAAGATTTTTGTACATTTAAGTCACTTTTAAAATGTTGCTGTGAAAAGTTTTTATCCCGATTTTTAAAATGCTCTATGTTAATGCACCAGTTTAATTTATTCAGGTCCGATAAATATATGTGAGTGTAATATAAAAAAAAATATTTTAAAAGCATCATGTATCATGTAACGAAATATCTTTCAGGTAAAAAAAAAATATACCCTCGTTTTCTTAAATGAATGAATAAATACATTCATTCATTTAAGAAAACGGGGGTATTTTTTCCTTATTTTAATCTAAAAATTTTTGGAGAGATAATTTTGAACGTACAGAGCCAAGAGTTAATGTTCTTCTGACACATTTTTTTTTATCTGTTTGCTAGTTGTCTTTTTCTCTTTCTTAACCGTAAGCAGCATACCTGAATAGGTTCGATTTTTTATACAAATGTATATGATTTAATTTCAAAGCTAGCTATCTTAGTGTTGAGAAGCAGAGTCAATCCAATAGAACGTGCATTTTTTTCCTTAACTTAAATAGACCTTGCAAGGTTGTTTTTGTCATTTAATGCATAAATTCTTAATAAAATATCTCCAGAAGACATTCTAAAATTAGTCTTGCTTAAAGACAGCTATTTCATTCAATGACTTGAAGGTAAAACTCTCATAATTTTCTTTGGTTAACCTTTGAAATAGTTAGAACTGTCGATAACTCTAGAATGTTTGCAATAATTTTATATCTAATATCACTTCTTAGGAGTAATAATCATTTTGTATTTTATTACTATAAAGAGTTGGCAGGTAAAATGAACTCATGAAACGTGTTACCAAATAAGATGCTATTCAAAATGAAATTATTTCTGTCTTCTAGAAAATTTAGAATTATTTTCAAGGAAAATAAAAATTAAACACTTTATAAATTCAATCAAAAGTAATTTTAATTTTATATCACAAAGAAATGTCTTTTTAAAAGAAAATATTCATTTTAAATACATGATGCATATGTACACAATGGTTATCATATACTAGCAACAGGTTATATGTCAATGGAATGATAGTTTCATGTCAACAACTTCTAGCAATGGTCTCCCAACCATTTAAAACAATGTACAAAAATATATATTGTAAAATCAGACATATACATCATCATTGAAAATTGGCACTCGATCCTTCTTCAATCGATACATTACAAAAACCACCAACAGCATAAACATACATAAATATATAAATTTGCAACATCACAAAACTGATTCAATTACATTTTTGAAATGAGATTTTTAACAATAGAAAGCAAGGCCTTATTTTAGATGGCTTCATCTCAAAATGTATACACGTAAAAAAAAGAAAGGAATATTGCAATAAAATGATATTACATTGCAGTATTAAAGTTAACATTAATTATGATTGCATCTGAAATTATTTTTTAAAAAATTATTCATCCAACAAAGACTTCAAACGATACACATACTAATACTTCTCGTATCTTAAAAATAAAACACTCGCACACATATATTGAAGTTATTGCACTCAAACATATAAATCTGAGGAAAGACTCGCAGCAGGTACTTTTAGAACAGCATGATTATCTTAAGTTGAAATACATTTTTTTTTAAAAGGACAATTAACGATCATTCAAATAAAGACATCATTAAGAGTCAACAAAAATATTAATGTCGTTTATATTGATTTAATGATAATTTTCCTCCATGAAATTTGAATTGCTACTTGCTCCATGCCATCTTGTGCTCCAATCTCATATCACAGAGTTCACATTGGTTTAAGTTTAAAATCCTGCTTATTTAGGGTGTATCCGATAAATTAACCTGAAAAATTGAAAATAAAATGCTAAATTTTTTCATTTGTGGAAAAAGAAGGAATATTAATATTAGTCTTTGTTTATATTTTAACTTTACTTACGAACACAACTACAGCATTTATTTTTCCTCCTTGATCCCTCTTTACATGACTTTCTGCATGACCTTCTTCTGCACTGTATTTTTCCATTCTGTTAAAAAAAAATGGATATTCAGATTATTAATAGAAATGTATGGCTGCACTTGAAAATTAGCATGTCAAGGTAGTTTATTATTAAAAAATATTCTTACTGACCAAAAAGAAATATTTTAACATTGGAGACTGTGGACTTACTTTACATTTACACGTCACACATTTGACGGCTCCGTGGGAACTCAGGACAGGGTGCCACCGAGTTCTATTTTTGTATACATGTTTTCCTATTCTACATTCTGAAAACAAATATTTCATCGCATGAAACGTTGTTGAAAAAAATCATTATTGATCTGTACAACGTAAATTTTAGAACTTTTGTGAAGAAATTTTAATTTGATTTGTCTTCCTAAATTAAACATCTGATAATTACAAAAAGGCTTTTTGACTTGTAATATTTTAGCTTAGAGAAAAAAAAAAAACTTTATTAGGTCAGATTTTGAAAAGTTGTTTGCCCTCTCCCGATCGACTGGCTAAAAAGATGGCCCGAATCAAAACTTATTTAACCTCCAGGAAGCAATTATTATTATTATTATTATTATTACTATTATTATCATTGTATTCTAGACAAAAGATTTTTAAAAGAGCGATATATGGTAAGTGTCTCAACTGGCCCCTTAAAATGAATATCTTAATTTTACTTCATATATAGCTTTAATTTGTACAGCTATACTAGTATATGCCTATATATTTTGATCAAAATGCCTTTCAAATGTCATAAAAATTTCATTTTAGGATAAAAAACTGCTTATTTTCAAGCAGTTTTTCTTCCATTTTATATTTTTACCAAAGATGTATCTGTCCAATACTGATTAGTGACATAATCAAAGTACTCAGAAGTACAGAGAGCCGGGCTCATTTACAGAATAGAATCATTACGAATTTCTTACATGAATCATACGTTTATATTGTATTAACAAATAAAAAAAAAGAATATCAGATTTAAAATTCTGATGAAAAAATCATTTTAAATCTATCAATATAATTGATAAAAGACACTGACAGTGAGTTTCGATCCTAATACCACGGTCCGATTTTGTCAGATTCAGAATTAATCTGGTACCACAACTGAAAATAAACAAACAGGCCAGTCTGGTTCCCTCTCCTGCTTTTCTTCGTATGTGTAGAGAACTAAGATACATGTAACTCTGATTATCAAAAATCCTTACACTAATGAACTATGTTCTTTGACTTCAGACTGAAGTTTTCAAAGGTACTAAATATGTTTATTTATTTAGATAAAACTTCGTTTTATTTTAATTGCTTTATTTAGCGTTTGTATAATCTCAAAAGCGGTTGAGAGTAAGAACTATATTTTTACACGTAACTTTAAAATGGCAACTATGGGGTTAACATCCCGTCTTGAACAGGATCACATAAGCCGGCAATTGCTCTTCGAGCAATAAGCCCGGCTAAAAATTATGTATGTTCTACACTGCGCTCTATGTTTCCCATAAGAAAAAGCATCAAGAAAAAAACATATTTTTGGCTTTTTTGTTAGATAGCAAAAATAGCATTATTTCTCATGTCATTTACAGCTAGAGAGTGCATATGAATGTGAAAAATATATTAGAAATATTTCTAGTAATATAATCTCTTCTTCAAAATAAATATCAATTAAACATATCTGAATGTCATTCTAAAATGTTGATTTTTAGGGGGCCAAAATTGGCTCTTATCATATATACTCCTTTGAATTGAAATTTTAGTTTGTTTTTTTTTTTCTCACTTACTTACCGATCCTTTTTTTATCCGAACTCAGGAGAAAGCAAACAAACATTACTAACATATTGACCTTAATACTTTGAACATTTAAAAATTAATTAAAATATATAGATTTACCGCCGTCTGAACTTTCCTCTGTTGATGGCGTTGTGTTTTTAATTATATCTGCTAATAAATTCCTGTCTGTGAAATAAAGATATAAAAAAAGTAATTCAAAAACTACATACAATTGTTGGAAATGAAAGATTCTTTGCTATAGCATAAAGTCATTCATGAATCTACCGCTTTATAATTGATATAATGCTCAAATATGAATAGTTATCCTCTGTATATAATGAAATGTTTCAATTTTATCCCCTCAAAGGATTCTACTTTGACCCTCCTTCCATGTTAATAAAGTTGTCAAAAATCTAATGCTCTCGAGAAACACATGAAAGGTCCAAGAAAAAGAAGATAAAGCTGGTTAGCTAATTATTTACTGCAACTTTCAAATAAAAGGTATTTGAATTCACGCCACGCTAGGCGCCGCACCATAATACCAGAATTTACAAAAAAGCAAAACAATAATATTCTGTCCACGTAAACAACGTTATAGGCTTAGAGGGAGGAAAACAAGTTGCTTTATTTATGTATTCAAGGTTCATTCACATAATTCATTAAATCAGAGTCAAAGAAACTCCAAGTACACAAAATACATATATTGAATACTGTTTATTTCACACTTTATAAATTGAACAACGCTCTTGAACTTAATTTAATTTTATTTTCAAAACAATTCAAACTTTTAATTTCGTAGTATTACCTGAACATACTTGACAGCAATCACTCCTTTGCACACGAACCCTGTATCCTTTCGAACAATTAAGAACAGGACATGGTAAATGTGTGCATCTAACCTGTAAACTGTTCTTCTGAAAAGAAAAATTTGAAATAAAAATACTGTTAATTCAACAGACTTTCATTTGAGCAATGATTTCTTTAAAGTGACATATGTTGACATATGTTGTTTAAAGTTTCTTACGTCACAAGTGCACGTGACACACGTTGAGTATCCATTGGGTGGTATATATGGATGCCAAACGGTTCCTGCGCGATAATGTCGCTTATCACCCGGATAATAACACGTCCCATTGTCCTGAGTCAGCGTTTCTACAAAATGGAAATAAATAGCACTCAGCATTTTGTCTGTTAATTTCGTCGTAAAATGCAATAAAAGGGAATTTCAAAGTTCCTATATCAGTGTAGCTTTCAGAGGTATATACACAGGTTTAAAGTATTAGTAAAAATGTTAGTGATCTAAGGTTTAATTACCTGGACACGTAGGGCAGCATTCACCATCCATACGTACTTGATTGTTACATGCTAGTTTTGGACAAATAACTTGGTGACAGTGAATGTTGCCATTCTACAATTCAAAGACATACACGAATTTATCATTTGATTTTAATCACTTATATAAAATGTTAACAAAATGCAACTCAGCTATATTATTCATTTTGGTCAATAATAAAGTTAATCTGTGTTTTTTACTTTATTTTCTTTAGAAAAAAAAAACGAGCAAAGCCACAAAAATGTTTTATTAATATGCTTTAATTCCCACCTTACAACTACAAGTTCGACAGGTGCCGTTTTTAGAGGGAATCCAGCTTTCATCACTGTGGTAAATGTTGCCTCCGTCTTTGCAATCATTCTTTCCTAATGTTGTTAGAGCTCTGCTTCCTGATGTTGGTCTTGTTTCATCAAGAAGTAAGTTCCAACATGAATTTGGTATGCTTAGCTGCATGTGAAGTAAATTGAACAAATATTAAAATGAAAACGGAAAATTCAGAAAACAAAGATTGAAGTTAAAACAAATTTATCTTGTACAAAAGTAAATTAAATGTATTGAAAGGTAGGTTTCCACTTTCAGATACATGACTCAACTTTACTATAAAGATATATTTTTCTTTATGGCATCGTTTAAAAGAAGATTGTATTTACATTTGCTACTATTTCTCCTTTTCTGATTCCAGTAACACCAATCTGAAGTAATGATGTCCCGGCATTCAAACTTTTGTAAACTTCCGGTGATATGTCATCTATTACACCGCGGGCCTGAAATATCATTTAAGGAACTGTCAAGTAAAAATAATCAAGGCCACAAGAAATTCTAAGGAAACGTATTCTGTTCCTTGCAATAAAAAAATCCATTTTTCTCAAGAAAATGAGTCACTGGAACAAAGAGGTACTTTTCCAAAAATAATAAATTAAAAGAAACTTAATTGCTTTTAACACAAGGATCGTTTACACAATTCTTTCAATTTTCTTTATTGCAATGCTCTATATTTTACAGATAATGTATATTTCTTGTGTAGTAATGTTGTGTGTGATATCATTTTTCTACACCATTCATACATTTTAAGGACCAATTAAAAAGTTAAGTGCAAAAACGTCAGGAAAATAGATGTTGCAGCAAGAACCTTTAACAACTCAAGTTGCAATAACTGAGACTCATCTCTGAGGTATTGGAGAAGTGTTCTTATTTTAAAAGAAACTTTTCTCTATGACTGTTTGGTTGAAAAAGGAAAGCAAAACAAAATATATTTTAAGTCCACCACTTGCAAATGATTACAAGTGTTACAAGACACCTCAAGTACATTGCTCAAGCTGCATGAGCATCTCCTGTAACATCGAATAAAATAAGCCTAAATTTATTGTTAAGAAAATATACTTGTTAAATGATGGTTAGCAAACTACTGGAACTGTTTATTTTTATGCACATGTGGTTACATAAAAAAGGTGTTTTCTATGACCTTACCATTCCATTGATAAAGTTGGATATAACAAGAGTGTATATCGTATTTTTGGTGAACTGCGGTGCCATGGAATCAAATTCTCCTACCAGAAGAGCATTAAGGGATGAATAGTCTTGTAGACCAGATAAGATTATTTGATAATGAAGACGGCATTTTTGGTCAGCAACTAACCATGCCACTCCTCCTACTCCTGTTGGTGACGTTTGTAATGACGTCATCAAAAATGGTGTGTCTACAATTTTTAATAAGAAATGACAAAAGACGACATTTTAAGATATACTTTTTTTATTATTTTTAATAGATTTGTTAAAAAAAATCCTCTATTTTACCTTTGGTAAAGTCAATATCATCACTATACTGGATGTTTTCAATGCGACCCCTGAGAGCTAAATATGATTTCCGTTCCGTTTCTACGTTGAGGAATAATCTTCCAGCTAGCAGTAAAGCGATATATTTTGCCCGTACGTTTTTAATGATACCCGATGCCTACAAAAAAATGAGAACCATGTTAATTTACTTTATAAAATATATCATTAATATACTGCAGTATTGATGTTTCATTATAAAAGAAAAAAATTCACTCACTGTTCCATCACAGGAGGATGAAGAATTTCTCCTGAAATGTCCACTGAGGTTATAAATAACGGTCCGCCTTCCGGTTTTTGTAGGTAATGATTCAATGGTAAGGTAAGTAACGCAGCTAGTCATACCTTTCAAGTCTATCTGTAAGAGATGAAGGAGTTGAAATTTTCGTAAATTTATTGGATGAAATTATAAAATAAATTTCTGAAAGCATGAGAGTTTTGTCATGATCACTCACATTGTAACTTAATTGTCCATTGTCGTGTAGATTTAGAACTGCAAAGCCTGCGCTTGACAGTGCAATTTGCGGGTATATGAGTGCTTCACCACTTGAAAGAACTCCTATATATGCTTTGAAAAATGAGAAAAAAATAAACCCTGTAAGCACTATTTATGCAACAATTTTATGAGCACATTAATATTTTGATCCCGAAATCAGTACTGTAACTTAATTGAATTTTACAGGGTATAAAGTGAAATTTCACAAGATTTTCAAATAACACTATGCAATAGAAATAGTTTAATTTATTGTGTACCTAAACAATACAAGGTTTATACGAATGTACTCACCTCTACAGGTTCCAGACGGTGTTATAGTACCGATAATAGTGGTCCCTCCTTTAGAGGTGACCCTCATTCGCAGCCTCGCTTTGGCTATCAGTTTTCTGCTCTTTTTATTCAGGGCCAACCAAGTACCTCGGAGTTTGCTATTCTACACAAGGAAAAATAAATATTTTATTACTATTTCCTTTATAACATTTATTCCAAAGTGGAATCGAACATGTAATTTTAGAGATTTTCCTACCTTTCTTCTCCGTATTTTTTTGGTTTGGTTATGCAGAATCTGTGTCCTCTTTTCGATGGTAACAAAATATTCTTGTTTTCGTCCTGTATACATTTATAGACATGTATTTTTTTAAAAAGATCAAATGACAAGTATGTTGCCTATTAATTTCGTTATTTCTAAAAAAATATTTATCAAAATGATACTTTTTATTGTTTTTTTTTTAATTTAATATTATGTTTAAGATACCTACGTTTAATGTTATAAAGACCGTCAAACTTGACAGTGTATTCCACACTTTTGCTTCGAATTCCGTAAAATAACTCGGCGTAGCCTCCGATACCGTACTGGTTTGGAGAAACCAGTATAGTTGAAAAGGTACCTTAAAAATAAAAAAAATCATGATCGAACCAGTTTCTCTTTTCGGGGTAATTAATTTCATTTCAACATCGTCTTCCATTTGATGGATGGGAAGATAAAGTCTTCACGATTTACTTTAAGCTCATTATTGTTTTCTTTGATTCAGTATATTGTCAGTAGACGCATCTTATAAACTGAGAAGTATCAATTTATATAACAAAGGCTATACCTGAAACATTCTCAGACAGAGTATCGCGGAAATGTATAGATAGACACAACAAGATTTATTAGCTTAATTTAAGAGTTTATACTCGTCAAATTGACGGCTTTTCTCATCCAAAGGTGCGATTCAATAAACACTTTACACTTGATTATATAACATAGGCAGCAGAGCTTTAGAAATGCGTGTGGTCTTTGCTGCATTAATACTATTACACCTCACTGAAACAAAGTTCAGCAAATTGTGTTGAAGTTTCCTGGTGAAAACTACTCACTTTGCTGTCTGGATTTGTCAACTTCCGGTTTTCCGGCAACTTCGCCATTTTTGAATGATGACGTCGTTATTACCAGTAAAAACATCCCTTTGTGTAGATACCGGAAATAAAATTCTGGAACATTTTCCCATTCCCCACATATCTATTCAAAAAAAAAATATGTGTGTGTGAAAATTTGAATTGTTTTGTAATAATTTAATTCTGGTTGTAACGCTGTATTTGACTGGATAAAAAATTTACTTTATATCGTATAAAATGGGTTGCCTACGTCACAATGACTTTTGTCAAAAACGTATCAATCTGCCTGACGTTACATTCAAACTTTGTACAAATTGAAGTCATTTTGTTAGAACAATCATCTTTTTTTCTTACATCAAATGAATGAAAATTTAATTATAAGCAAAAAGCGTAAACTGTTCCAACCCAGTTTATACCGTGTAAAATGGGTAGCTATTAGATTCATTCCTTAAGTAAAGGTTTAGTTTAAAGGTTTCTGATTTTAAGACTAATATAATCTGCGTCATTTTTATAAAACGACGCATCCTGAAAAAATATGAAGGAGCAATACCTTTTTTTTTTATTTTGAAGAAATTTTAATTCTAAAAATATTTGATCAAATACGCTCTTTCAAGTGGATAATGTTTTGCAAGATACAAAATGATACCCTATACCTGTTTGTCGGGATATCTTGTTTGGAGACGTTTTTCCATCAAAACGTTTCCGTTCTTATCTGTCAGCAAAAGTTTTTCTGGGTTTTTGAGTCTGTAAAATAAATACGATTCCGTGCTACAAATCAACAAACTAAGAAATGGAAAATATATAAAGTTATCACTGTGACTGTTTATGCTTGTTCTGAACGAAATTGAGCTTGTTCGAGATACGGATAATTTATCAAGCAATTTCTGAGAGGTTTACTGCAAAACGGAAGTAATAAAATATGATTTAAAGTATGTTTCGTTCATTCAGAATGTCAGAAAGTTTACTTTTATTAATATTTAAGGCATGTTTATCACTAAAGATGTGCAGAGATCAGCACAATGTTCATTCTTTTAGGAACTTTATAGTAATATATTAATTATTGTAAAATATTTTCAAATAAATATCCCATCTTTTTAAAATAATTTTTTATAAATATTTTAAAGGCTGACTTTCAAAAAAGAAAAGTTTAATTTTTATTTTATAAGGTTAAAAAAATCAATATCGCGAATATATGCCTAACTAAAATACAGGAAAAGCTAAAGAATTTACGCGTGTTTTTCGCAAGCCGTTGTCATTGAAGCGGAACGATTGCATTGAACCTTGTCTGATAGCCGTGATTCCAATTTTAGCACATTTTAGATAAGGTCAGACAAACTTCGGGTTTCGGTTTACTGTAAATTGATATATTTTTGTTTATAAATAGCTTCTTATTGAAACATATTACTTCATATAACATAATTATTTTTGTAAGAAAGTTATTTTGCCATGAACTCCAATTTTTCATTCATATGTTTTCTTCCTCTGGTAGCGGGTTTTTCCCTAATTTATCTCCTAGCATCCTCTATTTGAGAGGATGATGAGAAAATAAAACAGTAATAAATGTTTGTCTAATCAGGTCTCACTGAATCAAATTACGGGGGATTAAGTGCTTGTATCGGCCCGGCGTTTGTTTTACTTCCACCTTCCAGCCGTGAAATGTTGCAGATGATTATATGCTTTCCATCGACTGACGCCAAAAATGTGATTTCTTGACTTTCCTTCACGCTACGTAAGAACATCTTAACATTACAGAGAACGTTTTGGTCTCCGTGGCTGTGTTAAGAAAGCACGGTCATTGTATTGCTATTAATATTGGGCGGAATAAATTATTTACCGATAAAAGCAACCGAATGGAATACAATTCAGTACAAAATTTTAATAGTTTCAAATCACGATTTTGGTGACCAGATTTATTTTAAAGCTTATAATTATCACCGATTGTAATTGGTTTGAAATTAGAATGCCGGGATAAGAGGAAATTTTTATGGTTAAAAAAGGTACCCCAACGTGTGATTTCTAATTTCTTTGACATCACTTGATGCAAAATACAAGCACTTTATGATCTCTTCAAAGTCTTTTAATTCTACCTGTGCGACAAAGACTTGTTTTTTGCAGCTACAAACACATGATTTATAGAAGTCTTACCCTTCGTATTTAATGGAAAAGCGCAATCCTAAAGTCGAAGTCACACGAAGGTGCACAACTGCGACTGCGCGAGTCAGAAGCGGTCGACTTGAGATGACATTGCGGCCTACCAGCAGCGCAACATACTCTGAAAGTTAAAACAAGGTGTTTGAAAATAAACAAAGAGACAGAACATAGATCCTTTATTTGGCTGATTTTTTTCCATTGGTAAATGATATAAAGATTCAAGAGAGAACATTCAATTATTTTGAACTTACTCTTATTAATAACTTTTCGGCGTATGTTATCCCAGTTTAGTGCTTTATCAACTTCTTTGGACATTTTCCCTGGTAGAAGACTGAGCATATCTTCAAATGTTTTGTCTGTAAACAAGAATTGGAAAGCAATTAAAATAGTGTGAAAAGACTGGCACCACCAAAATCACCACAATCGATGTTCGACTAGACATTCGTGTATCATAAAGTAGCATTTTTAATACTCAGTACTAGCCAATTATTTTTATGAAAAAAAATATCACTACTCATTAAAAAAAAGAATTGGAGGTTTAAAGATAATTGGTGTACTTTCCGCTGAAAGATATCTTTTATTGAGCCATATGTTTCCGTAAATATGTAACGAAAGAGTTCTTCAAACGATGTAGAAACCAGTGTTAAGTAAGCTCCATGGAAAATGAGCAACTCTTTGAAATGCCCATTAGCAATTTGCAAATTTGCCCATTAGGACAAAAATAAGAGCAAATTAGCAGAAGACGGACAGCAAGATGCGATTTCTGGGCAAGAGCTCATTGCGCGTGCCGAACGTACCCAAACTAACAGGCAAAGAGGGACGCCAAAGGATGCTTAAAAACAAGTACAGTTTCTGAAGAATTTCACAGTTTTACCTCAAAATCACGTAAGGGATCGACTATCGACAATTGACCTAGTTTGCCTACGATTACCATTTCGATATCATGTACAGAATGTATTTTGATTCCCTTTCCTATAAAGTTTTTTCCTCACTATCAACAAATATGAATGATTATCATGGGTCAATGTCTCAGGAGACTTTTTTGTCTAAATATAATCAAGACAGCAAAAAAAAAAAAAATTTTTATACCTATCAATTTTCAAACCTTGGTGTTTTTCATGTCAAAATCGGGTCCAAAAGGTTTGTTTAAATATTTTCAGAAATGCCAGACTATGTGTTGCTTTTGATATAAAAAAAAAATCAACATTCAATCACATAGATGCGAAATTCAATCATTTAGCACTTCAGCAATGCAAAAAATTTTAAAGACTTTAAACTCATATTAATCGAGGATTATAGCAGTGTATTTTTCACACTTTTAACTTGGGGACACCTAGAGCGATTGTTTAAAGAGGTATGCTGAGTGTTGATAGGGCCACTTGAACTTGTGCAAGAAATCAGGGGGTATTAAATCGATACAAAATATTGGTCAGAAGAATAAATAGAGAGGCGATGAAGAGTAAATAGATTGTGCAATTCAAACAAGTATGGGGGTATAATATGAGATTCTCTCTAGATCAAGAAGTCGGGAACGAGCATTCGACCAGACATTATTTACGCTACTGAAAGCTTGCTAATCCGAGTGTCAAATACGCTAAGTGTTTGCATGTATTTCTTTAAAAACAGTTACAAAAATTTTTATATACACTTGAAATGCTTAACATATGAGTAACCCGTCGGTAGGCATTCATTGTTTCTGACAAATTTCGATAATTTATGGGTTTTATTTAATTTTTTAGTTTGTTGTTCTTTGAAACGTTCTATTAAAGACGCATTGCTCAGCTGGTGTTTGCGCACCTTATGCTGTCAAAGGGTAATTTGAATTTCAAATTTTCGAACCCTATACTCCCATTTAACCAAAATACTACCCCTTCAAGCAGAAGTTTAACAAGAAAAAATCTATCATTTTTTTATGCAAGATAATTTTCATACATCACGATTTGGCGTTCCATCTGATTGAAAACTTAAAGAAAAAGAAGAAAACCAATTATCGTCTGATACCATTAATGACTGAAAGTTTATCTAATGCCCCTTGTCATATTTAGTGGGTTCCCGGAAGCTTAAGACAGATAAATTTATATGTAATTAGCTTATTAGGACGGGCACTAGGTTAACATAACTATTAACCTTAATCTGGAGACAGATTTATGGTAAATTTTTACAAGGCCAGAACATAAGTATCAAAAGCAATGCAAGTAATGTACGCAATCGCCAAAAATTGAATAACGATTAAATGGACTTAACTGAAACACTTTTAATTGCATCCGTTTATACCAATTTCGATCGGGGGCACTGCCCACTACAAAAATTAGACTTGTTTTCAATTTAAATTTGTAAATGACCAATATAAATTAAATTAAAAAACTTTCAGAGGATTGTAAAAGGTTTTGATTTAAAAAGAGTGACTTTATTGTACTGTCTGGAGAGGTAGTTAAGTACAGGAAATCACTAGCACGCTCTACCCATACATTCTACATCCCAACAGTATTCTGAAGACTTAGCGGGGGAGGTGGGAAGTCATCTGAAAGAAAGCTCAGAGAACATAATGAAACATGTGAAAATTATTTATTAGAGAAAGGACTGTGCCGATCTGAATTTGTTTAAGAATACTTTTACAGTTCTCTACAATGAAATTACTTCAGTTAAAAGAGGCATAATAAGTTTTACTTCCAATATGTTGTAAAACCATATATTTCACACCGGTAACATTCATGTATATATTCATTGAGCTCACTTCTCCATGGCACCTGATCCCACCTCTAATGTTTTTGAGGTCCGTATTTGCTCTGCTCCTATTTTGTAATGTTTTATGGACTTTTGATCTTGAATACTGTTCATTATCTCCATATGTTTCACTTAAAACGATATAGGAAACTTAAAGTGAGTTTGACATTTCATCGAAGAGATGGAAACCATTTGTGCGTCAATCTAATGTGAACATTATACAAGAAAAAAACTGAACGTTTTCCGAACGGCTATTTCCGTCAAACCATGAATAAACATTTTGCAAAATGTCTCAAAGATATTTATCTCCTTAATGCTTTGACAGGAATAGAGGTGTATATTGCTTTATTAATAGATCCCTTTCTGGTAGAAATATTTATAGCCTGATTTGTGATAAAAATCTGAAAGAAAATACCACACATTTATAATGCTTGTTACTGACCTGATTAATTACAATTCTGTTATTACATTACCTTCATTTGGGCAGGATTTGCAGCACTTGCCTTCCAGTAGCACTGGGTTATCGCACTTGGGCACCGGACACAGGTTCTTAATATTTTTGCACTTAACATTTCCAATATGCTGCACAATGCCCTTCTTAATGTTCTGCAAAATAAGAATAATCATATTAATTTTTAAGAATGACCCAGAAAAAAATTTATTTTTGGAAAAGGTCATTCCAGTACTATGTGGTAGGTTTGTCTATTCAAATACATGACCAACGACGGGGAAGGGTTGCGATAATATACAAGTAATTAATATTTTCAAATATTAAATATGTCTAAATTCTAATTTTTCATTAGAAATTTCCATAATGTCTGAAATTATTAATATGTCATTTTGTTGGAATTTTTGCAATAAAACATAAATTAATCAATCTGTTTGTTGGTCAGATATTTCAAAATAATTTTCAATTTATTTGCCAATAAATCTATAAATATAAATACAAATCATTCTGTAGAAGTCTAGTAAGAATTTAGATAAAGAAAATAATGATTTATTCGATCTAAAAAGCTTATTCATAGCATTGAAATGGCCCCTGTTCGTTCGACCGCCATAAATCACATTAAGGGTGTGAAGTAATTTTGTTTCCTTAATCTCCCCGATCAAGCAATCGGCATACATGGGCTCTTCAAGTAATCCACAAGTAGCCCTGTACATTGAGATCTTCTCAATTGCTTTTGAACTTTTAGTCTTGCAGAAAGAGACTTGTTTAATCCTAGAGATATAAATTATTCAAGCAACGGATGGCAACTTTTAATAAATGTTTCACACCGTCTTTCAAAAGAGACGAGGGTTTTTGTTGTGAAATTTGGTTTACTTTTCCCAATTAAAAGGCAACATGATTTAGTCTGTTTCGATATGGTAAACCAACAGGGACGGGGTATGTGATGTGTCACACGAGGAATGTCTCTTTGTCACCTCAAGATTAAGATAACAAGGAAATACATAAACCAAGTCACAGATTCCGCAAAAATAATTGGAAGACAAGAGAAATACATGTACGTAATTATTGATAGGGGAATGAACTTTTATAGAGATGTCAAAAAACTATTTGTGTATATTTCAGGGGGATAAAAGTCATTACATTATAATTTGAATGAAAAGGGACGTGTTCTTAGATGTTACTCCAACATATGTCAATAAAGTTTGTAATTAAAACTATATCTTGTAAAAATAAATCATAAGAGTACAATATGAAGTCGAGCAGAAAACTATACTAAAGAAATATATGGAGATATTAAACAATATTCAAGCTCAAAAGTCCATTAAACAATACAAAATTGGAGCAGAGCAAACAAGGACCTCCGAAACATCAGAGGTGGGATCAGGTGCAATAGAGGAGTGAGCATCCCCTGCTAAGCGGTCACGCCCACCGTGTGCTCCTTGTCACGATCGACAAATAACGGAAAAGTCGTCGCAAATTCAGTGTGTCTATCCCCCAATTAATGTCTTACAAAAAAATGATACGAAAATAAGCATTTATTGATCAGTTGAAATTCTGTATTTCTGCGTTCAAATGTAATAATATAAACAGTTTGCCCAATTGAAAGCAACAACAGGAATACATTTCGACCTTAACCCGTTTCTCCTAGCCTTCAAGCAGATCTGAGTGATGAGTCATGTTTTAACGACATGTAATTTATTGTTAAGAATTCTTTTTTTAAAGAAGCAAGCATCATCCTCAACCCTTTCTGTTGTTCAGTAATCATCTATGATAGTTCCTAGCATTGAGATCTATAATAAGCCCATAGCCTGATTTTTTTTTTCATTTGCATCGTCAAAACGAGCAAGTGGGATATGCGATATCAAACATGATAAAAGGAGGAAAAGGCATCATATTAACACCTGTTGATTTTCAATAGTAAAAGGAACAAATACTTAATTTAAAATACTCACTGTCTCCATGATTTGTAATATTTGTTTATTTTAAGCGATCTTACACATATCTATGGACTTTTGTTTCCACAGTAATAGCAAACCTTTTTTGTGAATCGTACCCTTTATGTTTTTAAGAAAAGTATAAAGTTTAAGCAAAAGTATATTTCAGCAACATATACGTTACATGTGATAATTTCATGAATTACTCAAAAATCAAATATCTTGCAAGAGTGTAAATTTCACCGGATGTTTAAGTCGTTTAGCGGGTGAAAGAGTGAAAACGACATCCTGTCAATACCCGGCCAGCAATTACGGGAAAAACAGTAACCGTTTTCCCCCGACTTCTGAAGTTGCACATTCATTCATTCAACACTAGAGTAATGGCGGTGATTATCTAAAAATGGTAGCGGAAAATTAACCCTTGTAGGAGGAATGCAGGATCTAACCATTTGAGGGCTTAATTCTCTTAAGCAATTATGTCTTTACTTTAGGAACGAAAAATTGACAGTTATTTAACGTAAAGAACGCCATGCAAGACTTTAATGAAAGATGTGGATCCATTGGGATAAGGTTTTATAGCCTACTCGGAGTAATAAGTTATGGGTGTTCTTCCTGTTCGAAGTTTCCTTTTGGATTCTAAACCTTGTCATTCAGGTTTCCGTCGGCTAAAATGTTTCTGTCAATGTATAACATGGATGATCTCATTCAGCTATATATTTTTGGGATAATTAAAAGACCCTTAATAGAGGATAAAACAGAAGTAAAAATAACAAAGTCGTAAACTGAACTTCTATATTGAATTTGCAGTACAAGGTTTGTGGAGAACTTAACATGGAAAACACATTGTCTAGTAGCTTTCTTTGATCCCCCTTTTCCTGTTATGATCTCAAATTCTTGTTTTGCAAAACAGTAAATTGTTTTATTTTTATTTCTCCAGATAATTCTTAGTCCCGCGCATAGTAAAATTACAATAATACAGCAATAATTAGTTACGTTATAGTTGTTTTTGCTTTTTAGTGTCGATTTCTGGACACACAGACTGGAACTTCGATTTAAATTCGATTCTTTAAGTGTAAGGTTAATCTCCATTGCCTACCCCACGCAGATGGAAAAATAGAAGAACAGTGAATTATGGCATTGAGTTACTCACAGTAAGAGAATACCAAAACCATGCTTAAAATGTCATAGAATTTTAAGGCTCTAAATGCTTATATTATAGTTAATAGCTGAGTAAAGGACGTCGGTTAAAATGTTTCGAATACTAAATACATACGCAGTCTTGATTAGTGTTCTTTTGTTGCTTCACAAATAATGCAAAAAAGTCCATTCTGAATTCAAATGATACCTAGAAATTTTTTTTATCTAGAACTGCCTCTTAAATATTAACTATGATTTGTGTTCCTGCTTGTAAGTAGAATCTTAGGGAATGAGAAGTCCCATACTTAGTTATTTTATTAAAAGAAATTCGTATTGGCAGTTGTACATGATAACTTTTCTGTCCTCGGAAAGAATGGTATTAATAATACCATTTAGCCAATTCTTCATTTTCTTGTGTTGCCTCTGAATAATCTAGGTTGAGAATAATGTGAATCTCAAGCTGAGCCCAAATTTGAACAAAACCTCAAAACACATTGACCTAGTGTTCGATTTCTTTTCTCCGGAAAATATAAAGTACAAAATTAGCAGGAAACGGGGAACAATTGTAATTGATATTATATCGTGCTTTGACCTTGACAACGATTCTTCCGCTAGTTAGACGATTATAAGACTTTGCTGATTCTGTTTTAGAAACAGATGATAGTTTCAGTTGCTTCTACAAACAGCAGAATCTTGTGTTACACTTTAATTAGTATATCATTTGTTTTTTTATATTACATAGTCCATGATTGTATATTTTTTATCATTCTAGACAATTTTTATGATACGGAAAGTGAAAAATGCAGACATCATTTTTTTCGACAGTGAACTGTTGATATCAAATGAATATTGGCATTAATTCTATCTAGGTCAAGGAGATTATCAACGTATCCATATATCTTACATTCAAATTTTAAGGAGTGTATAGTTAGAAATCTATTACAGATAATTATGATAACCTTCCCCAATAAACGACTCCGAAACTTGTCGTTTTTCCACCTCCGCCAAGTATGAGAGTTCTGCGAGGCAATTTGCACAAATTCCTCCCTGGCAATATAATCTCCTTTATCTTGCTACGTAACACTTTTTTCTTGTTAGTAATTGACATATTACATTGAAACATAAAAGGAACATAACTGTCTGTCATTGAAGGGCTTCTGCAAATACCGAGAAATTCCCGTATTTTCTGGGATCTTGCATGTTCAAAGTATTACAGAGACACTTGTGAGGTTTGGTTATTGGGAACACTGCAATATTTATTGCATTATCATACTCTTATCTGGCTTCAGTGCTTTTAATGCAAAATATTTTTAGGATGAAGTACTTGAATTTCATGAGGGTTGAGGGATGCAAACAGAAAACAGAATTTGGCTCTCATTTATTTGTCCTCCCTAGTCTCAGTTCCCAGATCAATTAAATATAGACGAACTCTGATAAGCATTTTACTGGGAAGCGATAAAAAGTTCTTTATGTTCCATTGGTTGCAGAAATAAGTTGCCAAGTTGACTAAGCTCGTTTTTTTGACCAGACAGGCAGAACCAGTAACACAGTGTTGAATTGAAAAAATGTCATTTATTTATAAAATGACGAATATGGAACAGTACAAATATTGGGGGTCAGAAAGGACTAGAAAAATTGACAAAGTGTTATCTTCAATAAGACAGTATTATGCAATCTGACCCCTAGCAAACATAATCTAAAATTACACGAAAATCAACTTGAAGTCTCAAATCCATACAAAACACAACCTGCCTGTCCACAAAAAAGGTGGGTTATCTAAAAAATACAGGCCAGGCAGGAGAAAACAATTGAAAATTGAGGAGGTAGTTCTGGGGTTGGATGGAGGGTAATTTTCGTTAAAATTTCTGTGTGGCTTCTCCTTTCAGTAGAAAAATACAAAATGATACACGAGGTGAGGAGCCACGCTGATTGGCCCAAAAATTCCTAACTGTGGTTTGGGTAAAGTTAGGTACACTATACCTAGCCGGGTTGCAAAGAACTGGGTATGAGTAAAACTTCAGAGCATGATAAAATCAATAAAATTACAAATACTGGATATGAATAATACAAGTCACATAAAGGTTATTATTTTGTCTTTTATATAAATAATAACTTATAGTGTTTGTTTTTTATTTGGAAAAACTTAATTGATATAGTAATATATATGTTTGAGCTATGTATTCTTTTGAAGTACGAACATATTCCATGTACAATACAAAAGTATTTTACTTTGTCTTTGAAAGACTTAATGGCTCTTTCTCCCTAACATCAAATTTAGATACAATTTAAAGTATATGCATACGAGTATTTAAATTTGGCACATAAGTATAATAGATAGTTAATAAGAGAAATGCATTGCTGACCTTCATGAACTGAAATGGTTCGGTTCTTGAAAATGAAAGTCACAAGCTTTGCACATCATTTTTTTTTTTAAATAGAAAACTTTAATTTCGTTTCGTTTAAGTGTAAATAGTAAAGGAAATTATAAAATCTCTGGAAGGAAGTAGCAATAGTACACTCACCGGTACACATTGGCAAATGAGGCAAACGAATGGTCCATCCGGATTTAAGGTTGGATTAAACTTTTCTCCTAGTTTATAAAAAGACTTTCCGAGATGACATCCTGTAAAATAAAATAATTTAAAGATGAAAATTAAAAACATTGCATGCACAAGGTAAAGTGTTAAGTTGCTTTCTTTCCTCAAAGTCTATGGAACTGAACGAGAAGAAAGTCACTCAATGAGAAATTTCAGCTTATATCATATATGTTTAAAGGAGATTTCGCGTTTATTTTTTTTAAGATAATTCTTTATCTTATTCTGTTGTTGGTGGCGGTGGTGTTATTTTCAATAAAGTGTTACCTAAAGAAAAAAATAAGTGCTGAAAATAATTAAGACATTAATTATGAAAATCTGTTCTATAAATTTAACAAATTCTACAATGTGTCTCTCGGTATTTTTTGATAAAATTATTTGTGCCTCATATGAACATTTAGAACACAGTTATGGTCTTTCAATCTTTTCCGGTAATTAGCAGAACTGTTATGTGCAAATGAGGTCATTGAGATTAGTAGGTCTATTTTTAACCAGACACTTCGGATTATTTTGAAAAGCAACAGATAAAGACATTTTATGATTCATTACTACATTTTAAAAAATTGGCATTCGGGTTGCATTCTTATAGGCTCAGTAAACTTTGTATTTAGAGTGAAGTTACTTTGTCAGAATGTCAAGTTAGATTCCTTAGAATCGTGGAGAGATGTCGTCTGCAATCAACGAATCTTCAAAAATGAAAGAAATGTTTTTTATGCTTTCATCCTTGCTGACTCTATTTTATTTGCAGTTAATGTAAAAAAACAAACAAACAAACAAACAAGAGAGAAAGAATTCTTAAAAAACATAACCGAATAAGAATGTAAGCTTTTCTAACACAATTTCTCGTATGTTAATTTTTAAAAAAATATTTTACGAATGGTGATTATAAATATTTTTTTTTCCAATTTACAACAGATTAGTCACTACTGAATCCATCACTCATGTTTCATCACAACAAATTGAACTAGTCATTTCTTTTAGCTAAAAAACTAAGCTAAAAATATAATTGAATTTTATTACTTAAATTTTTGGAAAAGGTTTTTGAGAAATACAAACGCATGATTAATACTAGCATGCTGGTAAAGCTTACATTAGTCATGTTTGTAATTGACACAGTTGTTAAGCAGTTATTTTGCTAATCAGCGATAACACATGTACTACTGTGTTAATGATCGCTAGCTGTCAAAAACCGTAAGTACATCGTATAACAATACGTTGAAGATAACTTTTGCCAAATAAAGATATAATTTCACAAACTCTGTATATTAAAAAAAAACAACCAAACAAAAAAAACCTTTGGTTTTGTTTTGTTTTGTGTTTGTTTGGTTTTTTTTTTTTGTTGTTGTTGTTGTTTTTTTGTTTTTTTTTTGTTTTTTTTTTATATTTATAACTTTTTGACCAAAGGCATTTATTTATCATTCTTTTATTCACTTACAAAATAATAAAACATTTTTGGGAGGTGCATTCACTTTGCATTAAAAATGAATTTTAATTAAATACGTACCACTAATACCGCCAATATACTTCTTGTGATGTTTTTTATTTAAATGATATCTTATTAATAATCATACAAAAAATGGACAGCCTATATGTCTTCTTGTAATACATGAGTGGTCATATTAGTACATTTCTTGTACATTTCATTATGAACAACAATAAACACTGCTTTCTAAGTTGTGTCAATTTAACTTTTTTATAGTAATTTTTTTTGTTTTTGTTAAGTTTCTTATTCACGCATGCCTTTCTAGACCTATTGTTGTATATAAAATCACCTATATGTTTTTTGTAGTCTCTGTACGCTATTGTAAAATGGTGATGAGATTCAAATAAATGATTGATTGATTGCAAAAGAATCTTGTCAATTTAACTTTTGTAATTTACGGTCTGTGTATGACCCCAATATCCCTTGATTGTTTAATAAACCTGTAGACACCAATTACTACGTGATGACTGTGTTATTCAAACTTTCCTTCGCTTGAAAACAGTCTGGAAATGACCACCCCTTTGATCAATTAAGCGATGAGTAGTAGAGTCGAGCTATAATTACGTTCATTCAATAAAACGTCACTACGCTTACTCCGATAGAGCTCAATGATGCGCTCTTTGCCAATTGTTTTCAGTCAAAAACCAGCTGGAACTTGTATCTTTCACTCAGATTAATCATTCTAATTAGTGTATTTTTAGAAAAAGCTCAAAATTGCCAAAGTTGAATCTTCATCAAATTTAAAGAAAGTGTTTAAAGACGTCAAACATTCTGACATAAGTTAAAAAAGCTAAAAAAAAAATTAAAAGAAATAATTAATTTTTAAAGCCTTTATAATAAAATAAAATCTTACCTGGAAAATTTTGATAAATTTTTCCATAATCCACCTCCTCGGGAATTAACACGTTGAATCTATCCTTGGGGCTACCTGCATGCTTTTGAAGCAGGAACCGTTCTCTTATACTTCCATCAATGTTTACGAACATCTGCAGAAACACGTAGATTGTCAATAAAGAAGTCATTTCATTCGCAAAATTCAGATTAAATCCTATAGGTTCAAGCTGAACACCTGCAACTCGTCCTAAAATCTTTCGAATCAAGAGGCCGCAACGCAAATCTTAATAAAACTAGTCAAATATGGTAAGGTACCCCTCGGCACGCAAGAACACAAATCTGTAAAGTAGTAAACTACCAATAAATATTTTTTGAAGTTAACTAAATTTTGGCACTCTCTAATATCTACAATAAATTATTTCTTAAGTGAAATAGATATATATCTAAGAACAAATATTCCTTGTATCGAATCCAAGCCGCGTATATAAAAAGAATTAAGTCCAACGGCAAATATTTCAACGCTGATATATTTACTAAACTAGACGTGTGAAAACTGTATATACAAGACTTTACACCCAGTCGCTTGTGGGATTGTTTTCAAAATCGCAAATACGTTGAGAAGTTGTTATCTTTCTTCAATGTAAGAGGAATTTCGCTTTATAACTACAGTTTCTTCCCCAGAAGTCGGAGAAAAGCGACTCAAGAACACTAGCTATTGGTTGTAACAGTTAAAAACTAACAAAGAGCGGCATGACACCCGCTGTTTTATACCCAATCATATTCAATCTTCCCGCAAACAAAAATATCTATGTTGTTCTATGACCAAAAATATAGCATTTTTATCGATTGGAGGATAAAAATACCCCTAATAATTACCCCGGATAATCTCCATCTTTTATTTATTGACTTGCTACTATCTATCGATACAATAAAAAATTACAGGGAAAGAATCATGATTTAAACGAGATACTTTAATTTATAAAAATTTGATCCATTAGAACTGTTAAAAAAATCTTCTTCTTTTTTCATTTTTCCCCTAGGTTCAACTCGTTTAAATCTAATTTTGGGGGGGATTTTGTTACTACTGGAGTAACTGGACAATGAAAGCGTCGTTCTTTGCGTGTATCTTTCTTTGTTGGATTTTTTTATTTTCATCTAAAAATACTTAAATGTTTTATTCTATTAGAAAATGGATCACACTTTGATGAAAGAAAAGAGGAAACTGTATTTAAGTATCGATTACCGTTTATGTAAATACTACAAAAATGACAAAATTTCAGGCGATCTTTAAAGTAATTGGCATTTCCAATTAGAATTGGACAAGGAGAATAGTAACAAACTGCATTTCCATATGTTTTATCACAGGAAATTTGTTCAATTATTTTGTTTTTCATTAAAACGATACTTATGCGCATTTCATTTAAATATCGTATTCACACAAACTTGTTCCAAACACTTGAAATGGTTTTACTTCCTTAATTTTAACATGACGTCATACAAAAAGAAATCTAGCGTTGTTTTGTGTGCTGAATATTCGAGAATGTGTCTTTAATTAATTTACAACTTTCAAGTATCTGACTATGAGGACAATGTGCTCCGGTAACTACCTGTTTGTTAAACATATGTGCATTTCGTTTTATGAAATATAAACTGTTTGACTTTCTCGACTGAATATTTTATGAATAGCAAATTATATTGTTGTTTTCTTTTTCAAAACAATGCAAGAAAAACATTTTTTTTATTATTATCAAGCATAAAAATTGCAAAAACAAGTTTCATCTAGTGCATATATTTGTCCATAACAGGAATTTAAATCTGATCAAGGAAATGGTTACCCAAGAATATACTTTATTATGTTTGATTAAGCTACTAGTAAATAATAATATCTTATGTTGCTTTTAATAGCTTTATAACACGTACCCACCCATAGTATAAAATGACCTGACTCATGAACAATTTATGCAACAATTCCTTTTGTTGTTCAGGCTTTTCACACTTTCAAGTGCCCCTACTATGAGTGATATGTTGGTTTTGTATTTTAGTTCTTTTCCCCAAACAAATCAAACAAGGATACGGCATGATCCAGAAATAAAACAACATAATTGAGGAATAAGATAATTCAGTTGGAAAATATGATGTGTTACCATTTATAGACAAATGCTATTTCGAATTGATTTCATTGCAATTTAATGCAAAAATTTAGAATAAGAACCTTTACAAGTAATTTACAGTATAACATGTTTAAATGAGTGCGAAGACATGCATGGAAGACAGGGTTTTTTTTTTGTAAACCATTAGATTTTGGTAGATTTTAAGCAGTGCAAAAAATTTTTTTTTCTTCCACAGAAATCAGTAATAAGCATCACGTTTAATCCTTAATAAAGCACGGATTTTCATGTGAAATTAAAAAAAAAAAGGCACCGCAAAATGCGGAATCCCCTCTCAAAAAGCATATCTATAAATCAAGGCAGCATTTGACATGGATCCCGCTTTTGAAACTGCACCAATAGATTATTAAATTTGAACCAAATTACATTTTAACTTCAGGATAGCAGTGGGGATAAGATGCCCATCGCAGATTTTAAATTCATAAGGTTTCTGAATATTCACACACGAATATTTTATGCTCTTTAGAAAGTTATTCATCCAAAATTTGCAACAATTAAAGCTTTAAGGATATCCGATCCTCAGCCAGAAAGGATAACTCCAGAAATTAATATTTAATTTAAAAAGCGTCAATATGAGGCTTGAAAATGAAAACTTTTCATGCAACAATTTTTATCCTATTCAACTTTATATGATTCAAGGTTTATGGAAGTCTTAGAAAAGGTCTTATAAAAAGTTGACATTTGTACCCCATAAAAGAAAAAAATATAAATACAGTTTTAGAGAAGCAAGATTCTCTTAAAAAGCAATGCTTATTAGAATGATATGAAACTAGAAGTGATTTATGATTCTTTTAGCAAAAGCCTATATATAATACAAGAAGGAAATAGAAGACATAGAATACCAAATATATAAATTTTGAATGATACTTATTGTTTATCAACCAAAATATATTTGTTGATCAACTTGCAATTAGAAAATGCATAGCTGATATTCCTATTTGCTTTTTCTGAATAAATATTCATACATGTCCAAGAGCGAATTCGATGTCGATATCGACGATATCGACAATATTATGTCGATGTCGTATCGATATCGATCGTGATGAGCACTATTAATTTGAAATAATTGGTAACATATATGAGACTTTTTAAAAACCATGACGATTTTTCGATATCGCATATATTTTCACAGTGAGGTATAACATAATTTTACAAGGTCACAAGTGATGTCAAATTCATTAATTATTAGCATGAAATTCAATATGAAATTAAATTATGATAAGGAAAGAGTTAGTGGTTGTTATTGTTTCGGATTAGGTTTAGAGTAAGATGTTGGGTAAGGGTAAAAGTTGTTAAATATATCAATCATGTCTCTATCTCTTGTGTAAATTTATTAATCAGAAAGTAAATATGCACAAGCGCTGCATGAAGAAACAAAGAACTTATTGTCATTGGATATGTTAAAAATAAAGATTTTGTATAACAGAATTCGATATCGATACGATATAGTCGATATCGACGACATCGATGACAGGTACAATCTTCGTAAAAGTAAAGTAATCAAACTTAAATACACATACAAAGTAACAGGGATGGTATTTACAAAGGACTGAACAAACATGATTCGATATCGAAAGAACATGATTAGTGACGATATCGACACTACAGGGAAAGTTTTATAGAAGATAGTTTTCAAGTAACACATGTTAGAAATATAAAAATAGTATTATAGATGGAAACCATAATTTTTTTAACAATCATGATCTCTCACGATATCGTAGATACTGACAGTAAGGAAGACTTTTTAAAACATAAAGTATTGTAATAAACACACAAAGATAGAGAAATATTATAGTTAAGTATAAAAAAGTAGTGTGTCGATATCGTAGGTTCTTGGACATAACTCTAAATATTTGAGATTTGACAATTTTCCCTATATAATATGATTAACTTTATTGTTTAACTTTAAAGAAATACTGTGGGTAAATTTACGTTCCTCTGTGGATTCAGAGATATTTTTATGAGTATTTTCGATTACTTAACTGCTAATTTTATGAACCTGAGGATCGGACTACCTTAAAGAAGTAAAATTGCAATGAAGTGAGAAAGTTAACCATCACCGATTTTTCCTAATGAAATACAAGACGATTAAAAACAATGATTTTCACATTAATTCTTTTCACTATATACTCATACTCTATATAAATTTTGAAGAATATGTATAGTTTTTGTCCTTGTAAACCCTCCAACGTGTAGTCCATAACAAACAAGATGTGATTGTGAAACATTATGCGCCTGGCGGCAACAAAATTATTTCTAAAACTATTTTTAGCATATATGTAACAGTCAAGGTCACAAGGCCATTAGTAAAGTATGGATACCAAATATAAAGTCTCTATCTCTTGTGGTTCAAAAGTTATGGCAAATGTACGAAAAAAAAATTTTAAGCATACAGGTCATTGACCTTGGTGTCATTTGAAAGAGCTTAATTAGTGTACTATGTATACCAAATAAGAAGTCTGTATCTTTCATGGTTCAAAAGTTATGGCAAAGGTTAAAGTTTGCAGATAAAAAGATATTTTTAGCATATAGGTCACAGTCAAGGTCACTAGGTAACTGAACTTCGTGTCATTTGAAAGAGCCTAATTAGTGGAGTATGAATACTAAATATGCAGTCTCTATCTTCTATGGTTCGAAAGTTATGGCAAAGGTACGAAAAAAATATTTTAGCATACAAGTCATAGTCAAGGTCACATTGACCCTAGTGTCATTTGAAAGAGCTTAATTAGTGTAGTATGTGTACCAAATATGAAGTTTCTATCTTTCATGGTTCAAAAGTTATGGCGAAGGTTAAAGTTTGCAGACAAACAAACCGACAGACAGGACAAAAACAATATACGTCCCGGATCTATCAATCTGGGCGCATAAAAATACACCTTTGGCTTCTTGAATATTTGTTTGGTCCACGGTCATCATAAAATCAATGTTTACCTCCTCCTATCCCCCCCCCCCCCCCGGAGTTACGACGCCTTTATGCAAACATTTTAAGTATGAATACTTGATTGTGTAAAATTTTAAAAAGAAACAAGATGTGCTTGTGAAACACTATGCGCCAGGCGGCAACAAAGTTAAAAAAAACATATTTTTAGCTTATACATTGTAGGTCACAGTCGAGGTGACAAGGTCATTGATCTTGGTGTCATTTGAAAGAACATAATTAGCATACCAAATATGAAGTTTCTTTCTATCTCTCATGGTTCAAAAGGTAAGGTGAAGGTTCAAAAAAGCTATTTTTAGCATAAAGGACACAGTCAAGGTCACAAGGTCATTGAC